CCTGATTGTTACTGAGATGATGGAGGTAAAAAGCTTCACGTTAACATCTTAAAATCCCATGCAATGCAGAATTTCCGGGCAGCAAAGGGATTTATTTGGAGGCCGTTGGCTGTTTTCACTAATCAGTAACAGTGGCTTATTTATTCATAGTGAATTTTTATCACATTACTGCGAAATAATTTCACAGCATTTGTTTTTTCATTTATACATGATCGTCATCAGTAATTTTACATTTTAGTCCAAACCAAACAACCAGAAATCCCTTTTGTGGCCTGGCCCTCAAATTTACACACATTTTTAGATGTGTTTCCCCTTATTTTCATCTATAGGCCCAGTTATACTTGTATGTGTTATCTATCTATCTATCTATCTATCTGTCTGTCTGTCTGTCTGTCTGCCTGCCTGTCTATGCTGTCTGTGTGTCAATCCATCCATCTATCATATATAAATCCAGCTCTTGTCTTGCAATTCTGCCTCCGTTCGAATGTTTGTTTTCCCTCCCTTTGCCTCCTTTTGAGCTTTCGAGTCTCTAAATTGTCATGCTTTGTGCTTTACAGAGAACACTCTGCTTTTTTGCGTCTAATATTATCTATTATATATAAGGTCAACATATTCCACGGCACTTGACACACAGCACTTTACAATTATAGAAAGGGCCCTGCTGAGACGAGCTTACAATCTCTGAGGATTTGAGGTAGGACGATATATATCGTTAGGTGTCTTGCTCCAGGTTGTCTGACTAAGATTAAAAACTGTGTATCCTGGTTCTAAATAACCAGCTGATATACCTACATTTGTTTCAACTTATCCTCCCTTCATGCTTTATTTTTTCACCTCCACTCCCAACGACCACTACCAATTACCTATGGATATTTTGTATCTTTTATTGTCCCTTTTCCTATTCCCCATTTTACTGTTCTACTCCTCAAGTAGTGCCTCAATAAGGGATTTCAAATCCAATAGCTGTGGGTTGTGAAGCTCAGCCAGCGAGATTCTATTAAAATATAGGTATTAAGAGATATTTTACATTGACTAAAGTGAATAAGGTTGTTAATTGTTTTCATTAACCTCAACCAGTTAAGTCTGTCATTAATTTTCATTCATGAGAAAGTTTACTCCACAATATGGTGCTTGCCTATCTCAGACCCTAACTCTTCAAAGCAACTCTAGAGAAGTTTATATAATAACAAGAATTGGCCATTGTTACATTATATCTAGAAATATCACACAGAATAGAACATGAACTACACAAAAACAATCTAATTGCTCATTTCAAAGTCAGCCATGTTATTGAAATGATTCAGGCTGGTCTATTTTCTGACACTTCTTTATTATCTTTCGTGTTTTTGTAAAAGACAATGTGTATTATGCTTCAAGGCATGCTACAGCAAGACATCATAGTTGAAATTGACACTAATAGCTTCTTTTAATACACATAAGGTACACTGCTTGTGCTTTGATGTACAGATGAAAATGAAAAAAATGTTTGCTAAGATAGGTGATTTTAAGTAGCTTTGTAAAATTTAAAATTGTATTTTTCTTTTTGTGTGTGGGTTGTTCCTTTAACTCTGTTGTGTACCGATAAAAATGAAATAGAGTACTGGATTTGTATCAGATTTTGACAGGTCCAGAATTTCCATTAAACATTTTTTTTTGTGTGACTACCTAGGCACTACTTACCCTCAGGTCAGAAAGCAGAGGTGAACTAAGGGGGTGTGCACTCTGGATGGCAGTGGGGTGCACCCTCTTATGACAGAGCAGGCACATGCCTATTGGCATATTTCTTGCACGGGTGCATGTGTCAGGTGACGGCACTGTCACTGTGGCTGCAGAGCAGGTGCCGAGGGGGGCTGCTTGGATCTGCCCCTGTACTGATTACCCAGTTTCCTTGTGCACCCTGTACTGATGTTGGACACCAACCCACCCCCAATATCATTATATAGCTGCAGGGAGCTGGGCAATCACTGACTAATCCACACCAGCCCCTACTGGACACCAGGGATCAGGTTCCACTGCAGATCTCACATTAAAGGTAAGTAAAGGGAGGCTGGGTGGACCTCACTGTTAAAAAAATGTTAAAAAAGAATAAAAATCTAAGTTTGTGTGTGTGTGGATGTAAGTATGAGTCATTGGGTGCATATGAATGTGCGTGCATATATGAGTCTGTATGTGTGTATAAGAATTTATGTTTGTATGAGTCTGTGTGTATATGTATGAATGTGTGTGTATGAGTATATAGCTCTATGTGTTTATGTCTCTGTGTGTGTTTCTGTCTGTATGAGTTTGTGCATGAGTCTGTGTGTATGAATATTAGTGTGTCTGTGTATATGTGTGTTTGTATATATGAAAGTAGGTGTGAGTATGAATGTAAGCACATGTGAATATGAATGTGTATGTATAAAAATATGAACATCAGAACGTGCATGTAATTTCCCTAACAAAAGAGTGTTGGGAGTAATGAGGAGGAAAACAAAATTTGTTTTACAGTTTGTGTCATGTCACCTAGGTATGCCTCTGGTCAGAAGTGAAATATGGATACTCTGTGTTCTGCAATCTTGAGGTTCTGCAATCCAAGTATTGCATAATGCCAATTATAATAATCTCCTCAAGGCAGACAGTCCAGGTTTTGTGAGTATCCTCATTGAAAAATGTAAAAAAATTTAAAAAAAAAAAATTTAAGTGTCCCTCTTTGTCTACTCAAAATATTGCAAAGTATACGGCATGTAAATTGTTATACAAACGAAAAAACTGAATTTAGCCCCCCAAAAAGTCAGTTTATAAAAACCATAATTCAGAGTTGTCCACGGTCAGTAATAGAGATGAGTACACATGCAGTACTGGAGTGAAATCATGCTCATAGTGGTGTTGGGGGATTTGACAAAAGCTGACATAAATTTTTCCACCTAAACTAATCTTAGAATTCTATTAACGGGGAGAAACAGGTATCGAGAATCTTCAAAGTAATCAATGTAATTTGAATCCGTAATGCTAACATATGCTTTTGTTTAGGTGATTGGTCTAATTTAAGGATTAATTTGATTGTCTTAATGATCAATATAAAAGTTTTCCAATATATTAAAAATGAATTTTAAAATGAAGTTCCATGTTATCTATGTTGTAATATTGATGACAGGGGCTGGAGAGAAAGCAGGCAAATTGAAATCTCTTCAAGAAGTCAATGTATCTGGATTTTTCTTTTTTAGCAAGATGCCGAGGGCTTAACTGTTGATCTACAGTATCCCAAAAAGTAATGAAACTATTTCATCGAGAGAATATCATAAAAGGGAGTTGTCAAGTCTGCTTGCACCTTTAATTAGCTTTTCTGTTATTTTACTTCAAGGAGAAAAGCAGAACAGGATGTTGACTTGTTTGTGCTTGGATATTAGGTTAATAGAAAACAGATTAAGGCTGAGGTTATTTTTTTATACTCGCTAATTTGCTCTTTACAGTTAGGTAATCTGTGGTGGGAAAAAAAAATGGAATATCTTTCATTCACATATGCTTTTGAACAGAACTACCAAAAGCTTTAATAGATCTTCGAAGCCCGTCTTTGGTCTATGATCTCCAAAGTGAGAAACTAGTACTTCGGGAACATTTTAACCAGATACAAACCTCAATTCTCTCAAACCTCCAGGTGGTCTTATATAATAACTGGCAGTTCTTTCTGTTAAAATAGTCATGTTACACTATTCTGTGAAGCCAATTATGGTCTCCATTGCCTCTCAAACTCAACATCATCATTGCCTAATCATAATACATAGCTTCCATACTAATTCAAACTGTGGGGAAACAAATTGCCAACTTAAATTCAGAGAAATATAATTCTCAACATAAGCTATTACAACAACAAACTATGTGCTTGTCAACTTTATTGGCAAACGATTGGGACACCCTGACACTATCACAACCTTAATTTATGTTTATAATGCCCTGTTGTGACAGCGAGTCACCTTTTCCCAGTTTTAGTATGTTTCACTACACACCTGTGATAATTTACCCTAACTCATTGTTTTTTATATTTGAGATGTTTGGTGATTATATTTTTTTAGAGAATGAACAGAGATTTAGGATGAATAAATGAATTATTAGACTTCTCGAAATAAAATTAATTAATCACTTATAGTCTTAGGCAGCTAAAGTAATCAATTTGGCACTCTATCTCAACATCTTTGGGTTAATGAAACCAATGGAAATTGCATGTATTGATTGTGTGTGAAGTTTACATATAAGTAGCAAATTCCCTATGCACAATGTAAAAATTAACTATCTAGATATTCACTTGGTGAAGCTGAAAGCATGTAAATTCCAAGGAATGTGTGTAATGTTGAGTATACTATTTCAGAAGATGTGCAAGGGGTTACGTTGAAATGGTGTCAAATATTTTCTACAACATTTCGACCTTGAATCTTCAACTAAAACTACTTCTCACATTCTCCATGCAGCAAAGACAGAAACCTGAAAATAATTAATGTGAACATTGCAGTATATTTTTCATGCTGAAAAATAATAATCTGTAGCACACATTTAGTAGTTTTTTTTTTTTTTTTATAACCCTTACTGCCAATTTATAGCTGATTATTAAATATTGAATTCATTGTATATTAGACTTGGACAACAAAAACTCTGGACTTACTAAATAAAAAGAGTCAGAATTGATGTATTAGGAAATTATAGAATGTTCAGCATGTATATCAAACTGTTCTCTGAGTACTTGACACTACAGAAGCCAATCCTGACATATACATTATGCTGGTAGTGAAAAACCTGTCTACAGTGCAGATAAACAGGAGTATAGAGAATAATCTGTGTTTCAGGAGATACTCATTAATGTTTCTCATTACTGTTTTCCATTTTTCCCCCAGGTGCCAACATTAATGATGGACACACAGTTTTCTGAGTTCACTCCAGACATTACACCTATCATGTTGGCAGCTCACACAAATAACTATGAAATTATAAAACTCCTAGTCCAAAGAAGGGTGACCATCCCTCGCCCTCACCAGATACGTTGCAACTGTGTAGAATGTGTCTCCAGCTCAGAAGTTGATAGTCTCAGACATTCACGGTCGAGGCTCAACATCTACAAGGCTCTGGCCAGCCCTTCTCTGATTGCCTTATCAAGCGAGGATCCCATCCTCACAGCATTCCGTCTTGGGTGGGAGCTAAAAGAACTAAGCAAAGTAGAAAATGAGTTTAAGGCAGAGTATGAAGAACTGTCACAACAATGCAAAAGGTTTGCCAAGGACCTGTTAGATCAAGCAAGAAGCTCTAGAGAACTGGAGATTATCCTCAACCACCGGGATGACCAGAGTGAGGAGTTAGATCCGCAAAAGTGTCATGATCTCGCAAAACTGAAGGTAGCAATAAAGTATCATCAGAAAGAGGTAAGAATTTTGGAATTACCTGTTTACTATAATAATGTGAGATTTAAACACAAGAACTATTGCTCGCCTGGAAAAAAAGTGAAAGGTCAAATCATCTTGGCAGGTTTGAATTGAAAGTTTTTGTTCAATTACCTAAAAAAATTGAGTTATCTAGAGTACAGAACACTCTTTAGGAGGCATCATCACAATCTTGTAGTATGATGTGTCTGTGCTATCTGTGCATTTATTTTTGCTGATTGCTAGAATGTATTAGAAAGAATTGTCCACCACACAATGATTTTGCTGGGAAGCCTTGAGTAAAATACATTATTGGTCAAACTACACCAACAAATACTGGACTATTTGATTTAGCTAACCCGTAACTCTTGTCCATGGTAAATACTCTATTAAATGAGAACTGCCAGTTCCAGCGATTTTTAATACTATGTTTACTTTTTCCTTTATTTAACATATGTATTTGGGATTTGTTCAAAATAAAATAAAATTTAGAAGTCAATACATCTTTATCCTGAAATTGAGTGCCCATATTTTAGCTACCTGTCAGTCACTTTCATAAATGTAAGGTAAAAAGGGGAATTGAGGGAATACATGGAATATGCATTTCTCAGCAACGGTGCTGCCGCAGAGATTAAAAATGTATACTAAATATTGCCATATAAAGGAACTGAAACCCCATATTTGTTTGCTGAGATTTTAAGTAGCCTTATAAAATGTAAAACTGTTTTTCTATGTGTGCTTTGTTTCTTAATCTGTATTTTGTGTAAACTGTTAAAAGTGTAGTCCTTTTGCTCTTGGCAGTCATCATAGAGAGAGCATACAGAGTAGAGGAAAAATGAAACAATGTTTATATTTCTTCTAATTTATTTTCAATGTTTGCCCTGACTTTGCCTTGTCTGAACTGGATTATGATGTAATTTGTTAAATCTTTAATATTAATGTAAAAGAAATTGGAACGTCTCAAAAAGAAAAAAAAAAAGATTAACAGAAGTTATAGCTGATTTTCTTTTAGATTTCACTTAAGGTTTTTTTTTTTTTGCATAATAAATGTTCACAGCATTCATTTATTAAGAAAGTAACAAAAAATAAAGGAAAAAAAAATAATAAAGCTAAGAGGTATTTCATGTTTTGGCCAATTACATTTCAAACACAATACACTTAGTTTGTTAATTTTATAAGAAAAAGAAAAAAGACCCACACGACATTTCTAAGAACAACTCTCATTCGCAGGTTGGCAGGTGATTATTTTTTTTTTCAATCAGCCCATTCTTTTTTAAAATTTAGAAATTGAGGTGTAAATTGTCATGTAGCCAATTCATAACTTTTATTTTCAAATATTGGGGAAATAACTTCCTCAACTGATGAAATAGTTGGAGATTTCCAGAAACGAGGACATAACAAATGTTGCATCTATAAGAATATGTTTTATTAGAATTTTCTCTATTTTACTGACAGTATTAGGTAATAGCTTACATAAATCTATTTTAGAGGAGAGTGAAGTAATTGATTGATCTATTGACTCGATCAAGGTGTGGAGTGATCTCCAAAATGTTGTTACTTTGTTGAATTGGTTGCCCACCAAATGTGGACCATGGAGGCTAACTCTCCATAATTTCTGCAGGACCTGTCTGATGAATTTGGAAATGTGGTGCATACAAACAAGGGTGGGGAGCAGCCCGTTGTCAAATAACTGATTTTTAATGTTTCAATGGTGTAAGTTCCAGAGAAGTAAGAGTTATTTTTTAATGAAGTTCTAAGCTTTTGCACGTTTGTTGGTTAAAGTCAAAATAGGGGTATTATGTATGAACATTATGTATTAAAGTAGGATCTTTTATTTATAAAGTAAAGTTCCGTAAATCTATGATGCTCTAACGTTGAAAATAAGTGTCGATTCCCCTTAGATACCAACCATTTCATGCAATAAAAATATTCAATTGAATTACCTTGTTACATACCAAGGCTGAAAAGAGGCATGTGTCCATCAAGTTCAGGGTTTCTCACACCTGCTTTTACTGTTGGTCCACAAAAAAAGCAACAAATCCAGTTTGAATTGCTTTCCAATTGTGCAACAAACAAGGAAAAAAAATCCTTTTTGACCCCAGAATAGCAGTCAGATCTTGGATCAAGAAGCTATTATCCCACTAATTAAAAAAGATATCCCTAAATATCATGTTTTATGCAAGCATTTATCCAGTTGCTGGATCAACAAACCCCCCAACGTTTCGGCTCCTCCTGGTAGCCTTGATAAAGGCTACCAGGAGGAGCCGAAACGTTGTTTTTTTTTAAATTTGACTCGTGTTTCTGCCTGATTAGGCTTGTAAATTGCGGTAAATATTTATTATTGTTTATTATTCGTAGCCTATATTGTGTCACTGACTGCTGTTTTAGTATTGTATACTTATTAGTGATTTAATAAATATAGATAGAGACTTCTTATGGTTTTTTGGTGTGCATTCTTTTTTGATTTAACTATCCAGTTGCTGTTTAAACATCTGTACAAACTCTGATAAAACCGCCTCTTCAGGCAGAAAATTTCACATCCTTATTGTTCTGTAAAAAAAAAAACCTTTCCTTTGCCACAGACTTAATCTCCATTTTTTGAGTCTATATGCATGACCTTATGTCCTAGACAGGGCCGGCGCTACCTGTAAGGCGGAC